ATATAGGCGTATAGATTTAGAACAAAATCTCTACTGACGATTACGTTTCAGAGGCAATGTCAGATCTTGTGATTTGCAAATTGAGTCATTGCAGTGCACCAGTCGCTGGTGGCATAAATATGATTTTGCTGTGTGAAAAAGTTGCGAAGGAAGATATACAAGTGAGATTTTTTGAGGAGAGAGATGGACAATTAATCTGGGAAGGATACGGCGATTTTCAACCGACGCATGTACATAAACAAGTAAGTCAACAATGGCAGTTGTATATGTAAATTGCACTTTGAATTACACTGCAGCAGTTGCAATACAATAATAAAAAATATGATTCATTTGTCTGTATTGTATTATCTGTCGTTCTTTATAGACAGCGATAGCGTTCAGAACGCCTAGCTATCGTACACAGGAAGTGGAACAGCCGGTGCAAGCGTTCATCCAACTTAGAAGGCCGTCGGATGGTGCTACGAGCGAACCGCTACCATTTCAGATGTTACCACTAGGTACAGGTAGGCCTGCTTTCTGGTCTTTACGGAAAGCATTTGCCAGGAAGAAGGCAGAGTACAGTACCTTCAGTAAAATCTTGTCTGCGGAAACTGCTCTTTTTGACAATGTAACTCCTAAGTTTTCTCGTAATATCGACGAATTCAACAATAATGGTCTGGATACGAAAAAACTAAACAATAAAATCTCTGCATTGCGAGCTTTAAATGATTTGTATAACATAAAAAATCAAGTAGATGTGTGTAATGGTGATTTAAAAGCGTCAATAAATTCTACACAAAATGTAGAACAACCCACGAAAAGTACTATTTTGGATTATGAGAATAACGAAATGATGATAATCTCGAGAAGAAACGTGGAAAATAATAAAGAAATTAGCAAATTGTATACTCTTGGTAATAATAATGTAGAAAATAACGCATTTAATTCCGAGTATAAAGAAAGAATTGTCGATGCGATTTCTTATGCGAAATCCGACGCACAAGAAGATAGCACGTCCGTATCAAAAAATGTAGATAATTCGAAGAATAAGTCAGATTGGTTCAATAATGTTGAAATAGGCAAATGGGTGCAGAAGGGACAAGTGTCCATTAAGGAAAAGAATAATGAGACGGAGTTTAAAAATGAGACAGATGGTGACAATAAACCATTTAATGAATTTTTATCGCAAGTGGCTGAACTTGATCAAATTTATGCTGATACACATAACAAGTTGATACAAGCTGCTACGGAGACTAATCCACAAATGATGGAAATTGATGTTTGTGATAATCAGACTTACACCAGTTTACAAATGGCTATGAAAAATCCGGTAGAGTTGTTCGACATTACCGATGACAGAAAATACGAGGATGTAGCCGTCTCTAAACAAGATGCGGAAGTGCCCGTTATGTCTGTAACATTAACAGCTAAGAGAGATGTAATGCATGAGGCGGAGGAAAGATTGCCACCCTTGCCTCCCAAGCGAATACGCAAGATGCCGTCAATGCCACTTTTGCCGCATCCAATATCCGCTCAAATGCTCACTACCTCACTCACCAAGGCACCGAATAAAAATTTGCCGTCCTTACCCGGTACTTTATCGAAACACGCTAGACAAGGGCTGTTTTCGAAATTATTTGCTAAAAAAATTAAAAAGGATAAATGCTCAGATCTAAGTAGAGATAGTGATCCGTCATTGAATACTTCATATTTATCGAAGAATTCTGTGCAAGATGTTATACAATCTCAAAGTCCACGTCCTAGTATGTCGAGTGTTAAATCTCTTAAGCTAAACGACGATGAAGCACCATATGGTGTAGATTTAACTGAGGCTGAGCACTATGCTTTGTATACTACTATGGCACCACACGCGACTGCCTCAGAATTTGATGAAATGTCTTTTTATTATAGTCTAGTTGAGGATGGGAAAATACTGACGGACACAAAAGAGACCTAAACTATTCGATAAATATTTTATTGATCTATTTAATATTTCATTTTTGTTTATATACTGCCAAGTTGAAGATAACTTAATATTTGTACATGAATTAATGATATTGTTTGAGTCTACCGATTTTGAGTCTGCCGAAATGTGAGGAATATTGTCTTGCAATGCAGCTATAAACTTTTACTATCGTCAGCTCTTGTATATTTGCAGTTTTGACGTGACATTCATTTAAGAATGTATTTGTATCTTTAAACCAAAGATTTTTACGGAGAAGAATCGAGAATTATTTTCTTAATGTTGCTCCTTCATGTTGCCACATAAAATGGATCGATTTTTGTAAGACGCATTTATCTAGGTGCGCAAAATTCTAGTCTAAACTAAGTGCAATTTGTTAGTTTTTCCTTAATATTTCCTATTATCGATTTTTACAAATAATTTGTAAATTTTCAATAATTGTTATCTTTTATCAAATAATTAATCATTTTTTTCTAGTCAAGTTTGACACTGTATATTTTCTTATACTCTCATTGTACGTTGCTTTACTGTTGTTAAATTTTATATGAATTTATTATGAATGTATATGCAAATGTTTTTTTCCTTCTCGTCTTGTTATAAACTGCTCATTTTAGTATCCTAGTATTTTTTTTTGCCTTTTAACGGGAGACTAGAGTACCCCATTCTTTATCATAGCATAAAATGCTTTGTATATGTGAGAAGGATTCAATAATAGATTAATTTTTTCGTCTTTTAATAAAGAAGAGAATAGCGTTAATTAAATTCAATTTGCTTAAACAATATGAGAATCTTATTAGTCCGTGTATATGTGAGAACATAATCAATAAGAAATAGGAATTAAAGGTCCATAACGATTGAAGCTGGATCTTTGGTGCTTAAATAATTCAATGTGAATTATATATATGTACATATATATATATACTAGATATGTACATACAAATATAATTTGTAGTACAACTGCGCGCCGAAATTTTATCGGACTTGAAAACGCAGCTGAACTACTATTGAAATAATATCACAATTAAATTTTGATTAATAGGCTTCTATTAAAGAAATCTTAATATGCTGGAAATCTGTAAATAAATCAATTTACTTAACCGGAAGTTGGTTACGAAAAAAGTATCGAAAAGAACGCAAAAATGTCTTTTTTCAAAAATAGCCAACTTTTTTTCTAATTAATCAATTATTAAATTTCAAACAAGGTTCTAATAAAGAAAAAATTTTGGGCTATGAAAAAAAAAATTATTGTTGCACTCTCTTAAAATATAGAATTATGTAATTATAACTGTCAACAGATATAAAAAATTAGAAAAAATGGAAAAAACAATGAAAACCACTAATAAATTATTTTACACTTTTATAGATATATTTTTTAATTAAAATGTATTAAAAAATATAGAAAGAGTTCTATTGTATTGCTGCATACAAAAATATTTTACATTCAAAGCAATGTAACAATTCGATTGATTTATCTATAAAATCTAAAAATTATATATATATATATAATATAAATTAATTTATGACTCACACACTCACTATATACGAAATATTACTTTTAACAAAGAAAATGAAATTGACTTACTTGCACGAAACATTGACACAAACAGAAAAATGTGCTTTAAGTAAATTGTCAATGTAATAATCAATTGTGCAATAACTCAACAGTTAGCGACTGGCGTACTGGCCTGCCTGATTTTATTCCCAAAAAGTGAAAATAAATTATGAATCGAGCCGAAAATGTCGTTTTCTAGCTCAGTAAAGTAATTTGAAATTTCTTTGGGGTACATTTATATCCCAGTCTATTTTAGGGTTAAAAATGTTAAAATCTGAAAATCCTTAGTTTGCTCAGAGTTGATACTCCTTTTGAAGTAAACTTATTGATGTACAGTAAGAAAATTCGTAAGGTTTAAATACATGAAGCCTTCTTCGTTTAGAGCAACTGTACGCGATTAACGAGTTATAATTAAAATTACTCATTAATGTATAATCATTTATAGATGATGCCAATTCATTAAGGCGAAAGATAAAAAAGATTAATAACAACTCCATACTTACCAAACAAGTAGCCGAAACTGAGAAGTGTAAGTATGTTTGCAGAATTCTTCATAATTCTACACCTAATAAGATTATGGTGGGCAACAATAATATTATATTATAGTAACATCTTGATAATCTCCAAACATCTGGCATGTAAAAATCATGCTATTTATCTTTATATCACGTTTCTCATCGAAGGAATGAGTGTCGGAAGGTGTGAATGCTAATTATCTATTTTCACTTGCAATCCTTCAATCTTTTCTATCTGCTGTAATCAATATATATATATATATATATATATATATATATATACACACACTCTTTGTGCAAAAATGAAGTATACGCTTATATGCGTATAAAATAAGAGGCCTTTTACGATGAAGTTTTCATATATTTTAGCAGGTCTATTTGATACATTTGTTAATTGTTACGACAAACATGATAAACTTGTTAAGAAAACTAACACTAAGATACATACAAACTGTTAAAAAACAGTTGCAGTATTTGTACGAACGATTGTATGATTTTTAATCAGTCAACGTTCGATTGTTCTTATGTCTCATCATACATTAATCATCTGATTAAACCATCTGATTAATCTCTTTACACTTTGAAAATATGATTAAAAAATTCAGAATTGTTACATATGTAATGTAACACTCTCGTTTTTCGCCGACGGTTTTGACGTACGGCTGTAAAATTGTTGAATAATTTTCATAGTGGAGAGGGAAGCTTAACAAATAGGTCATTTCATTATATCTAAAAACTACTATACATATATTTTCACATAGACAAGCAAAAAACTTGTTTTATACTTTTTTAAAAATGTATTTTACATAGGACTTTGGAGTTTGAATTTAAAAGACCAGGCAATGAACTTATATATTTTGAGATATGATAATATTGTATTTTTCTATTTACGTATATTTACACGGGATAATTGATTCCGAGAAGCGAGTATAAAACGTCTCAAATCTTATAACAAAAAATTTGCTGTAATTATATGGAATCATTACTCGTGATAATAGTCTATAAGTAAAAGTTTCATAGTTCATACTTCGTATAATGCGAGTATATGATGCTCTTGTGCAATAATTAATATACTTTTCAGAAAGTCAGTTTTGTGTGTGTACGTATGCGTGTGTGTGTGCGCGCGCGCGCGTGTGTGTGTGTGTGTGTGTGTACACACACATATACATATGTATAATATGTACATATATAGGATGAGTTTGATAAAAGATTCACCACGTTTTTTTTTAAAAACGGTTAGAGATAAAGAAAAGACGCGAATATTATCAGAATTATAGGAGATAGAAGAATAAATAAAGAGACTTTGATGACTTTGGATAACTTTAATAAATATCCTTGATGTTTTTACTACTAATTAAAAGATTTTTTTTATTGGGAAGAGGTACTTTTTAATCATTCTAGATAGTATTTAATCAATCGAATACTTTGTATTAGAATATTTCTTCGAAAACAATTTTGATAATAGGTATCTTCCCTTTATCTCTAACCGTTTTCGAAAAAAATAAGTAGTGAACTTTTTTGTCAAACTCTCCTTGTATGTATATATGTGCAATAATTATAATATAGTACAATCAAATGATGTACAATATTTCTATGGTAATATAATTTTTATAAATTGCTTCTTTTGTGAACAGATAAATATATTTACATATTGTATGAATTACGTATGATATAATACATCTATATATATATGTGTATGTGTATGTATATATATATATATATATATATATATATATATATATATATATATATATACACACAACT